AGATGGAGACAGCAGCCACGAAATTAAAAGACACCTGCTTCTTGGGAGGAAAGCGATGACAAATCTAGACAGCATTTTAAAAAACAGAAACATCACCTTGCCAACAAAAGTACGCATAGTCAAAGCTATTTTTTTTCCTGTAGTGACGTATGGAAGTGAGAGCTGGACCATAAAGAAAGCTGACCACCGAAGAATTGATGCTTTTGAATTGTGGTGCTGGAGGAGACTCTTGAAAGTCCCCTGGACCGCAAGGTGAACAGACCTATCCATTTTGAAGGAAATCAACCCTGAGTGCTCACTGGAAGGACAGATCCTGAACCTGAAGCTCCAATAGTTTGTCCATCTCGTGAGAAAAGAAGACTCCCTGGAAAAGACCCTGATGTTGGGAAAGTGTGAAGGCAAGAAGAGAAGGGGACAACAGAGGATGAGATGGTTGGACAGTGTCATCGAAGCTACCAACATGAATTTGACCCAACTCCGGGAGGCAGTGGAAGACAAGAGGGCCTGGCATGCTTTGGTCGTTTGTCCATCTCGTGAGAAAAGAAGACTCCCTGGAAAAGACCCTGATGTTGGGAAAGTGTGAAGGCAAGAAGAGAAGGGGACAACAGAGGATGAGATGGTTGGACAGTGTCATCGAAGCTACCAACATGAATTTGACCCAACTCCGGGAGGCAGTGGAAGACAAGAGGGCCTGGCATGCTTTGGTCCATGCGGTCACGAAGAGTCGGACACGACTAAATGAGTAAACAACAACAATGAGTTCCTGCCCGACTGCTTTGTTGCATGCCAGTTGGGTGGCTTGGTGTGCAATCAATAATCCAACTAACTGGGGATTCATTAATTAGCAACAGCTAGTGCAAGTTGTGCCATTTCTCTTCCATCCATGCATCTATAGAACAGGAATTTGTCTGCTGTTTAAGTAATTCATCTAATAAAAGAAGTCATTTGGTTTGTGTGCCTAATACACAGAAGGCATGTGATTGAGTTCTTTAGGAGACTGAAGCAGTTCCTCTTTTTTGGCGGGAAATAACTACACAGATCCGTTTGAATGGTTAACAGATTTATTTGTACTAACATTCTATGATTCAACAATGACTTCAACAGGATCAAAACAGGTACAAACCCAAACTGAAGCTTAGGAGAGTTTATTGAGGGGCTGGTCCAAACCATTCTTTGTCTGTGAGCTTCCACAGCAGAGCGCTCCTCACTGCACATATTGTGCCCCAACAAAGATGTCTGGCCCAGTCTCCCTTGCACAGCAGCTGATTGAAGGTCGGATCTCATCACTGTCCTCCAGTGACCTTGCCCCCCTCCCAGGGAAAACCACCACTGTCCATTCTGGAGTTTCTCTTACAGTCACCCTCTTTTCTTTTTGATCCAAATTGGCTAATAATCCTCCTAACATTTAAGTTGGGAAAGTCTTCTAATAACTTGCGCCTTCTCCATATCTAAGCTCTTCCTCTTTTCCCCTTCTTTCATCTTTCTTTATCCCAGTCCGCAGTATATTGAAAACTCACCCTCTCCTCTGATCTTTTGTGTCCTCCTCCCACACTGGTAGAGTTAACTCCTCCTCCTCTTTCCCTTTTCCTTCCTCTACTAAACAGACTTCTTTTACTTCTTTCTCTTTCAATTCCTTCACTTCAGTTTCTTTTACAACCAATCCTTCCTTTTCCTTTCTCTCTCCCTCTTTCTTCAACGCTTCTATTTGAGGGGACAGGTCACTCATCTTTCTCTTTCCTATTTCTCTTTCACAAGGCAACAATACAATTAAAATGTAAGAGCAAAAAGCAACAGTAGCAGAGTAGTTAAGTTGCTGTACTGCAGTCAAAACTGCTTATGACACAGGTAGCTGGCCCAAGGTTGACTCAGCCTTCTGGCCTTTTGAGGTTGGTGAAATGAGTACCCAGCTCATGGGGGGGGGTGTAGTCTGCATAATTAACTTGTGAACCACTCAGAGAGTGCTTTGAGTGCTATGGGGCAGTATATAAGGATGCTTTATAACATGCTGAAACATTTCAACAATTAAAATACTTTTTTGCGGATTGTGTTATGTCAGCTGAGGACATAGAACATAAATGTAGAATAAGCATTGTCATTGATCCCTATATAGTGCAAACGTCATAATGAGAGACAGATTAGGATTCATAACCACTTAGTCTGTATGTTCAACACTACAGGCAAAGAATTCAGAAGCTCAAATGTATTTCTGCAAGAAATCAGCTTCTTGAGCAGAATTAAATATTTGTATTCAGAGCATTAGAGTGCTGTTTCAAACACAGGCATGATCGTCAAAGTTAAAGTTGAAATACATTCAGGATAGATAGCTAAGAACACACAAATTTCCTCCCACAGTAAGCCCATAAGACAACATCCTAACATATTCTTTAGAATTAGATCATGTTTGGTTCTTTTCAGAGATATAAGAGGCTTCTTGAGTGAGAGATCAGTTGTGTGACCAGTGTTCTTCATTATTTAATTAGTAGAATCTTAGTAGTGAAAAAAGATATGTCAACAGACTGAAATTCTTGCTGGATTTTCATTTTTATGTATTAACACCATGTAATGGAGTAAATAGAATTTCATTTTATTCTATCTTTTGATATTGGAGCAGGCAGAGTATAGACATAGTTAATACAAAAACCTTTCTTTACTTTCAGATGAGGAACATCAGATTATCAGACTTCACCGAATCCTTGAAGAAAATAAAGCGTAGTCTGAGCCCTCAAACCCTGGAAGGTTATATTCGCTGGAACAAGGACTTTGGAGACACTACAGTTTGATATGCAGCTTTGTCACAAGGAGCGGAGAATACTGCATACAAGAGACAGACTGCTGTTTGAATGCAGCCAGAGTTTACAAAACTTCCCTGATCTTTAAATATCTGCACTAAAAGACCAGACTGATGTAAGGAGGGCAGGGGAGAATCTATAAAGATGTCAAGCTTCATACCTGGATTTCCACTAAGGGCACTGTAAGGGAGAGCACAATAAGACATGGGGAAAGAATTCTAGCAGTTGAATTATGCTAGGAAGTGTAATTTGTATATGTTGTTGGCCGAAATGTTCTAATAGCATTATCAGATAGGGGGAAAGTTTTTTTAATTTGCTCTTGACATTTAGCTTTGCTTTTTTTAACCATTAACTGTGAGACTGTTTTTAAATTGTTACCTATGTATTGATAATGTGCCAAATAAAAATATTCCATATGCATTGGGAAAGATAACCCTGTTCTGTTTGAAATGTCCACAGAATAAATCAGGAAGTCTGTTACTCTTTGTTGTAATGAAACTCTGCAGTCAGTAGAACTGTTTAGAAATCTGCAGAACGGCAATGGCAGTACAACCAACAGCAACACCAAAGGGCTTTAAATTGGCAGTCTTGTGTCGTTTGTTTCTTGCAGCATTTCTTCAATATATTTACAAGGTTGCTATCTTAGGATAATTGTTCTCACATTATAGATATGTAGATCAAGAAATAAGAGCAAGTGGCATTAACTGTCAACAGAAACTTCAGATTCTCTCTCTGGTGATGACTTTATAATGTGATGTTCTTCAGTTTGTACATACAAAATAGACCTTCTAAAATATAGTGTAACCCTTTCTGCTAGCTCATATTATTTAAGTCTAAAATTGTATTAGGTGGACATGTGAACATGGGGGAACTGTGTTCTTCCTCAGATTTGGAAATCACATTCAGTGCCCCACAGACAGAGGTTTTCCTTCTAACAAATCCACCTGTCTTGCATAAAGGGGCAGTGGAAACATATGAGGGAGGGGGCAGCTCCATTTAATAATCTGAACTATGAAACAACGGAATAAAGCTAAATAACATGCAAATCAATTACTTTTTAATATTAAAAGGATGGGCATGTTTAATCTTTGTTTATTTTGGTGTTTTGTTTGTGTAACAATATTCAGAAACCATGGTTAAAATGCCATTCATTAACTATGAGAAAAGAAGGGCTTCCATGTTTATAGTTTAGCAAATGGGGAGAGGATAAAAAAAATCTATGGAAACTTCTGTGAATGTACATTTTTCTCTTTGAACATTTTTTAAAAAATAATGCCCCATAATTCTAGGGGAGGGTTTAATTTGACACAGAACAGTGATGCATCTTTAATTTTGGCAGTTAAAATAGAAAACTAGTGATCTTGAACTAATGAGTGTAGCAATTCTGCAGTCTTTTTAAAGGGTATCATCATTGACCATAAATGTAATACTAGCCTAATCACAGTCAAGAAAATACAGTTATAGATAATTCTACAAATTATGATGATTGTCAAAAACTAACATTTGTTAAGTTTTAGAAAGAGAGCTTAGAATAGAGGCCTGGAATCTCTTCAAGTGGCCATTAGATGGCTTCATTAGACATTTCAGATACCCTTGTGTCTGAAACTTCAGAATAAATAAATTGTGATTCATTTTGGGGAGCTTCAAAAAATGTGGTTTTCAAACTGGACACCCTTAATCTCTGCATGAAAACTACAATGTGCTTCTCACTGCTCCCAATTTAGGCTAAAATCTGTAATGCCTAAGAAACCTAGATGATTGATCTTCTCAAACACTTCATTAGTCAAAGTTTAAAACCTTTTCAACTTGTTTCTTTTACGAAATAAAGAGCACTTTCCTGTGTCGTGCAGCATCCTGCCTTCACATTAATTGTACAAATGATCGTTTATGATAGCCTACATGAACATAAAAAGCCTCGCATAAAATTTGAATAGCTGTTAGCTGTTCATAACTTACATTTTCCCTGAGGAAACACCAACATGGTTACGACAGAGATGACTGTAATGTAGCTCTAATAATTGTATTCCATTATGTGATAAGGTGTAAAGTCATCATTTTAGCTCATAGAAAAAGTCTGTTAGACCAAACGTGCCAGATTAGCCATCACAATTCCCAAATTAGGCTTATCAAATCATATGGCATTTATATATAGATTTGCCTTCCTGATTCAGTCAAATCTTCTGCTTGTGGGATTAATAAGAAAAATGTTCTAACTTCTGATAGATCAGGTTTTGAAATGTTTGGATAGTCCTATCACTGAGTGGCTACAAAAGCTGAAATTTGCTTTAGGCTTGCTAATTTGAAGGGACTAAGCACTATTAACTGGGCTTAGACTTGCAGCAAGACCTTCTTTACTTTAGAGGAAAACAGACTTGGCCTTCCGGAAGAAATTGGCCTCTGAAGGCAGTGTCCAAGACATCTGGAGGAAAATTTTCAAGCCATTTGATCTAGTAATAACTGGGATATCTCAGATACTGAATGGGCGCTGTTAGATTAGCTGGATTATATGCCTTTGCAGCATATATTGGGAAGACTTCATCCATTTACTTGAACAGAATACAACTCTTTGCATCCTCATTATCTCCTTTTTTGCTGCTTGTCGTATTTCAGATAATTTCACAAGAATTCAAAAGTATTTGAATGTTGTGTGTATTATTTTTAGAAGAGTGATCAGGCCTTTTGGCAAGACTTTCCAGTTTATTTACACAAGTTAATTGTAATACCAGCTTATCAAAGGATCCTGAAGGAAACACAAATGTTACAAGACAGTGTCATTGAATAATGTTGCCAGCTCACATAGTCTTAATAGTGCTGTACTTTAATGCCATCAGTTTCGTTCAAACAGGGTCCCTTCCTTTTCAAGTGTTGTATAGTCAAAGTTGTCGCTGAATGGATAGATAGGCTATTCATGCTTGTAACATAAGATTCTAATAATTCTTCTTTTGGCCCTAAACTTCTGTAATTTCTAGTTGACACTGAGTCTGGCATACAAGTGTTAGTGGGAACTACGTATTGAAAAAATCTTCGTTCAGGCCAAGGTAGAAGTTGAATGCTTTTATTTATTAAGCAGTATAGACACTGTGAGGGACATGGTGGTGCTGAGGGTTAAACCACAGAAACCTCTGTGCTGCAAGGTCAGAAGATCAGCAGTCGTAAGATCGAATCCACGCAACGGGGTGAGCTCCCGTCGCTTGTCCCAGCTCCTGCCAACCTAGCAATTCGAAAGCATGCAAACACAAGTAGATAAATAGGTACTACCTCCGTAGGAAGGTAACAGCGTTCCATATCTAGTCGCGCTGGCCACGTGACCACGGAAACTGTCTTCGGACAAATGCTGGCTCCATGGCCTGGAAATGGGGATGAGCACCACGCCCTAGAGTTGGACATGACTGGACTAAATGTCAAGGGGAACCTTTATCTTTTAGACACTGCAATGTCTCTGTGTTAGCATTTTGGACCATTGTTCCTTAGAGTACTGCACCCAGGGCTCTTACAAGGAAATTAACATATTACAAGATGATTGTTCTTTAAAAATGCACTGTTATTATAACAAGCAGAAGTAAGCATTCACTCCTACATGTTAAACTGATCTAGTCCCTGATAATGTTGTTAGGTAGCTTTACCTTTCTATCTCTGAGCCGTTTCTTCTAAAGTAATGGGTGATTAGGAAGGACCTTGGGATACTAACCATATTTTGAATTCAAAACCAAAAGTGCTGCCAAAACTAGAATATTTTCATGTTTACCATATTTTTAGCTACAGGAAGACTGCATGATAGCATCCATTATGGAAAAATTCTGATTTTCTTTCCACAAACCTCTTTTTTTATTAGACATTGCTCTTCAATATCGAGATCTGAACTTGTATTGCGATAATTAAATGTATAAAAGCATGAAAAAGGTTCTCATTAAAAACTTGAGATACTTGATAAAAAGTTGCAGTTCATTTTTAGTTTTATTGTATTATGTGGTCCACTTCCATGCCTTTCAACTATATTGCCTATTACCTTTTGCTGTTAATATTTCTCATGTGATGCAAGATCATGGATAGTTTCGTGTAGAATTCTTCCATTTGGATTCTTTGAAATGAGACTAAAACTCTTTATTGATGTTAGTTCTAATTTAAGTACAGTGTGCTGAAACCAGTTTTTAAATTTTTATTACGATTTTGTTAGATTCTAAATAAAGTGAAAAAAATTGAAAAAAATTGAATGACTACCGAATACTTCATTTAAATGTTGTAAGCAATTGATGTTTTTGTTAGATGAGGCTGCCTGTGACTCACAATTTTTGTCATGTCAGCAAATACATTCTGCTTCAGACTATACAGTGGTGCCTCGCATAGTGATGATAATCGCTGCAGCAAAAATCGCTGCAAAGCGATTTTGTCGCTATGCGATTTAAAAAAGCCCATAGGAATGCATTGAAACCCATTCAATGCGTTCCTATGGGCTTCAGACTCACCTTTAAATGAAAATCCTCCATACGGCGGCCATTTTCACTGCTCGGTAAGCGAGGAATCCGTCCCAGAAAACAGCGGGCGGCCGTTATTTTACCCAGTGACATTTTGGAACCGCCGATTGTTACATACAGCACTGATGTTACCCGTCTGTCATGGGTTTGGAGGGAAAGTTCCATCCTATGGGGAGTGGAAGGCGGGACATCAGGAGGAGGGGCTGTACTGTATAAATATGTGATGCCTGTGTGGTGATGAGACACTGAGAGACACTGTGAGACACTGGGATGTGACGAAGCAGCAGCTGGGAAGTTGTTGGATTTTCCTCCTTCCATCACAAGTTCATATTTTTTTAGTAGCAGAGTATTTATTTTCATTAACCATCTGCCTTGCAGGTAGTACATATAAGTTACTGTGATATAAAACTAACATGCTAATATCAAAATGATAATAATAATCAAATATATATACTCTGAAAAAGTAAACTGGTTAACTCTGCAAAGAATTAGTTTTGATACCATAATTAACTGAATTTTAATTGCTGCTGGTTAAAATTTTGCAGACTGCCCCATCACCTGTTTGTTGTGGTCTGCAAGTAGAGAAGATACATGTGTGGCCCAGCTTGTTATCCAATGAAGAACAAATTACACAATTATGTAAAAAGAGCAAAACAGTAATACATGTTTCCTTTTACTGTCACTACATGAGCATATGCTTCAACTTTATTAATTAATATGATCATTGGTCAGTCATGTTAGACATGCAAGACTGAAGTACAATAACAAAGCATATAATATTTATTGCAAGTTTTAAATTACAAAGATAATCTGCTGGGGTGAAGATTTTGCTCCTAGTTACCAACTGAAATAAAGCAGACTTAAATTCAGATTACAATTAAGTGTGAGTTTCTAATCTAATTACTGCAGTGAGTCAGTCATCTGTTCTCTTATTGTACAAACCACTGCACAGAACTTTGTGACCTCCACTTGAGGAATCAGAATGGAGAACAAAGATGTAAAATTTATCAGGTCTACCTGGATAATGTTTTAAAATTTGGGAAATAAGTAAACTGTATGAATCCTTATAGTATGCACAAGAGGACATTTTCCAGTTTCCACCATAACAATTTGGCAGGGGCAAAGATATTAGTCATAAGGAATATATGAGTATCTCCCCTCTAGGTGAGTGCAGAGAATTGAATCAGCCTGTGTAAAAGCTCTCTGTGTCTTGCAAGTTTTAAATTACGAAGATAATATGCTGGGGTGAAGATTTTGCTCCTAGTTACTAAAAAATATGAGACCTGTGCTCTATTGAGTGGAGGGCTATGTCCCAGATCTGCTTAACAGCCTCCTTATTTTTCATAAGTTCTAAATGTAACAGGGTTGGAGCAGATAACCCATAGGAAATCAGTTTTCCTGCCACTGCTCTTGCCCACCCTGAGGGGTGATTTAAATGGGCATATATGATTCCATAGTGAAACTCTTCTGAAATGACTCTGGAGTAGTGCTGAAAATATGACATAAAGTTGTAGTACATTTAAACATTTACCTTTTAAGTACAGTGGTGCCCCGCATAGCGACGTTAATCCATTCCAGGATTAACGTCGCTATCCGGATTCGTCACTATGCGGGGGGGGGGAACCCCATAGGAATGCATTAAACTCCATTTAATGCGTTCCTATGGGGGGGGAACTCACCGGTAAGTGAAGATTCCCCCATCCGGCCGCCATTTTCGCTGCCCGGTAAGTGAGGGCAGGGTGCGAAAACGCTGTGGGCAGCCATTTTGCTGATCCGGCGACCATTTTGGAACCGCCGATCAGCTGTTTTCTAAACATCGCAATGCGAAGATTGGTAAGCGAAACGCTTACCGATCATTGCAATGCGATGTTTAGCCGCTCTCATGCACAACTCCCCCCCCCGCCAATGTGTGGGGTTCCACTGAGACCAAAACCAAAGTGGCTGGAAAAATTGCAGCGTGGAGGGAGGTGGAGTCATGTTCATGTGGGTGCACGCCTTAACCTTGCAAACAAACAAGCAAGCAAACACATTAAAGTTTGTTTGCAATTTCTTGGCAGTGTGTACTTTTTCCTGGGCCTCTTGGTTTAAAAGCTTTGCAAAAATTGGCTGCATGGTTTTGCAAAAATTGGCTGCATCTCTCTTCACTCTCTCTGGTCTTCTAGTGTTACAGATCAGCCCTCCTGCCTGTAGCCAGAGCTTGGCTGCCAGAATAATTTTCAGAGGCTCTTACACTGAGGTCACATAACATTTACTGTCACCCTAAACTGGTGTCACTTTGGCTGTTGTACATGCTCCTGAACATTGCTTTTTGTCTGTTCTGTGACCATCCCCTTAATCTCTCCACCCTGATATTTTCCTAGCTTCATGATTTCCAACTCTCTGAAGGCTTCCTACTACCCTTACACCTTAAACTTTCAGAGCTCTGCCCTTGCAACCCCTTAAACCTGGGATTTTGTCCCAAGACAAGCCACCTCCATATCATCCTCCTTCCTCAAATCCTTGTCCAGCACTTTTGTGACTGAATTCGGCAACAATTTGCTATAAGATAAATGTGCGCAGAGGTTTGTCTGAGTCTGGGTGTATTTGCCTCTTTTTTTGGTTCGCCCAGAGGGAGAAAATGAGTCCACATGGAGAACGTTAAGGATGCTTGCACTATTTGAGCTAGTTTCCCACTAAGAAAATACTAAATCTCTTTGCCCTTATCAGGCAATGTTTTTATAGGGGGAAGGAAGGTACATAAGAAGAAACAATCTAATGAACGTTTTCATTCTCACCAAATCGATGCAGGAAACAACACCTGTCATTCATTCTGCAGGAATTCTTCAGTAGTTATTTTTAAATAACATTTGGGCCATTTCAATGCTTTAGGTAGGGTTTTCGTCCCTGCTGCCAACTGCTATGAAGCTCAGCCATTTCAAAATCGCACTTCTATTAGTTTCTACAGCGTTTCAAATGGCTCCAACTGTTTCCAAGAGACATCCTTATTTATTCTTGCCATTCGTTTTTACTCCAAATCGTCCTGGACGGACACGCGAACAATTCCCTTTGCTCTGCCCGGGTAGAGACAGGCCAGCGAAGGATCGACTCCGCGGGTTCTCCAGGACCGCCCACTTCACAGGATAGAAACGCCCCTCCTCTTGCCTCGCTCACCAATGGCACATGCGCAGAGCATTCTCCCCGCTTGCCACAACACCTAGAGTGGGCGGGGGGGGGAAAACACTAGCGTCACTTCCTAGTTTTCCGGCGTCGACCAATTACACTTCAGCTAGTTCGACTCCTTCCTTATCTCTATGGTACCCAGAGGAACCGCCTTTTCCGGCCCCTTTGGGGAGCCACGGGTCCCTCAACATGGTGAGTTGCGTTATTTTCATCCCGAGAAGTGATGCTTGACGGCGGTCAGCTTGGGTGCACGTGTAGAGGCGGCTTCACGACCGGGAGGAGGGTGAAATGAGGCCTGCCCGGGCAACTTTCCCGTCTCCGAATAAAGGGTTGGCTGCCCTTTATTCGACGAAGAGGGAAACGGCCGTTGTTCAAAGCTGCTGTCACTTTTTAAAGGGAGGATTCCGTGCCTTCTGGTAGCTGAAGGATGAGGAAACCTACAGCCCCCGAAACCCTCTTCCAGAGCCAAACGTTTCTCGAAGGTTTGACAAATTGGAACAAGTTCAGAGGAGGGCAACAAGGAAGATCAGGGGGCTGGAAACCTAGCCCTGTGAGGGAAGACTGAAAGAACTGGGCACCTTTAGACTTGAGAAAAGAAGACTGAGGAGAGATAGGATAGCACTTTTCAAATACTGGAAAGACTGTCGCACAGAGGAAGGGCAGGACCTGTTCTTGATCATCCCAGAGTGCAGGACAAGCAGCAATGGATGTACCAGTCCTTGTGTTTCTTTCTTAAAGAAAACATGCCACCTCCTGGTTTTTAATATTGCAATTCAGCCTGATCCATTAGATTTGATGTCCGGGTGTAAAGTTTTAGTAAATAAGCCTTTCTTTTCTGCACATCCAAGCTCTGTTATGAAGACAAGAATAAGTCAAGAGAGGCTGGGAGAGAGGGTAGCAGCCAATCTTCATGAGGGGGCCTATGAAGTTCATCCCTGAACAAACTGCAGTCTCAGTTTTATAAAATTATAATAATGATAAAATTATGAAACAGAGAATCTGAGGTCCTTGGAGGACAAATATGATAAAAATCGCAGAAAGTTGAAAAATCCCCAATGGGGAACTTCTGTTGTGCTTCTGCCTGTTTCACACCTGTTAAAGGCCTAAAAACGTGTTTTTTTAAAAAAATTCAAAAGTTTGCAGCTGTCTTGTACTCACATTTGATTGGTAGATGGCTTACTCCTGGTAGTCAGTGTGGATCAGTATTGTAGTCTGCTTGGACACAATCACTGGCAGTAGTAGAATGTTTTCTGTATTTTAAAGGCCTGTGTTCAGAAGTCAGACTCGCATCAAAAGGAAGTTATAAATTAAGAATTAAACAATGACTAGTATTGTTGCTTTTTTGTTTGCAGGGCACAATACACTTGTTTCGCAAATCACAGAGATCCCTTCTTGGCAAATTAACACAGGAATTTAGATCAGTAGCAGCTGATCGAAGGGTAAGAGTTTTCTTTTGCAATGGATAAAAATAAAATTGTTCAGTGACATGCATTTTCCAAAATACAGCTTTTACCTTGCTTGATTAAAAACAACTTCTGTAAATATTTATGCAACTACTTAATTTAAATTTGGGGGAGCAGCCAGTTCATACTAATTGAATGTTAATGAATGATGTTGTGGTCTGTCTGCCTGTCTTTTTCTCTCCTTTCCCAAATAATTGTTCTGGTTATGTAACTGATTGTCTTACCATGTGGTCCACTGAACACTAGCTGTTGTGGTGTTAACAGTACAACTCAGAAGTTGCAGCTGAAAGGCTGTGGCTTCCTTTGTTGAGTCAGCACACTAGCTGTATTTTACTGATATTCTCATGAGCAGTCTCAGTGGAACAACTGCTTGTGTTTAAGGTAGCCAGACAATGCAATAATGTTCTGATTTTCTCCACATGTGCCGAGTAACTTGATCTCTTTCAACCATGGTGTCCTTCTGGATAGGCTGGCTGGTTTGGGAGTAGGGGGACACTGTTTTATGGTGGTTCCGCTCCTTCCTGGCTGACCGTGTCCAGAAGGTGGTGCTGGGGGACAATTGCTCTGCCCCATGCATTTATGTCATGGGGTTCTGCAGGGCTCGATACTGTCTCCCATGCTGTTTAACATCTACATGAAACCGCTGGGAGAGGTCATCAGGAGGTTTGGGCTGAGGAGTCAGCAATATGCTGACGACACTCAGCTCTACCTCTCGCTTTCCACCAATCCAGGTGAGGCGGTTTCTGTGCTGAACTCATGTCTGGACCTGATAATGGACTGGATGAGGGTTAATAAATTGAAACTCAATCCAGACAATGTAGAAGTTATACAGCATGGGGGACAGTATCAAGCCCTGAGGAACCCCATGACTTAAATGCCATGGGGCAGAGCAACTTTCCCCCAGCACCACCCTCTGGACACGGTCAGCCCGGAAGGAGCAGAACCACCATAAAACAGTGCCCCCTAGTTCCAAACCAGCCAGCCTATCCAGAAGGACACCATGGACGATGGTGTCGAAAGCCGCTGAGAGGTCCAGGAGAATCAACAGGGTCATACTCCCCTTGTCTCTCTCCCGGCAAAGGTCATCATACAGGGCGACCAAGGCAGTCTCTGTACCAAAACCCGGCCTGAAACCCGATTGAAATGGATCCAGAAAATCCGTTTCATCCAGCAGCGCCTGGAGTTGCCCGGCCACAACCGGCTCCAACACTTTGCCCAAATAAGGGAGGTTTGCCACTAGTCGGTAGTTAACCACCAGCCTTGGGTCCAGGTTAGGCTTTTTAAAGAGTGGTCGAATTACCACCTCTTTCAAGGCAGTAGGGACCACTCCCTCTCTCAAAGAAGCGTTCACGGCCTCCTGGACCCAAGAACGAACCCTCCTGGCAGAACTTCCAATTAGGCAAGATGGGCAAGGGTCAAGCGGAGTGGTGGTAGAATGGACACATCCAAGCACCCTGTCCATATCCAAAGTCCAAATAAATAAATATCCTCAGGTCTCAACAATTGAAACTCAAGAACGAACCCTCCTGGCAGAACTTCCAATTAGGCAAGATGGGCAAGGGTCAAGCGGAGTGGTGGTAGAACGGACTTATCCAAGCACCCTGTCCATATCCTCAGGTCTCAACAATTGAAACTCATCCATTAATATTTGACCTAAGCACGGCATGCTGGACACATCTTCCGATTTTGCAGTAGCAGTGGAGTCTAGCCCACTGCGAATCTGAGCAATTTTCCCCTCAAAATGAATAGCAAACTTATCACAGAGAGCTGATGAGCAGTCCAGGACCTCCACCGTATTTCCTGGTTGAAGAAGATCCCGGACCACCTGAAACAGCTCTGCTGGATGACATTCTGAGGAAGCAATACGGCTGGAGCGGGACTTCCTCCACCTGCGCTCCAGCTGTCTCCCCTCTCGCTTCATCGCCCGCAGTTCAGAAGTATACCAAGGAGCTGTCTGGGCTCTGCGTGCAGGGAGAGGGTGCTTAGGCGCAATCATGTCAACCACCCGGGTCATCTCCCTATTCCATAGAGTGACCTGAGCTTTGACAGGAACGCCGACCATATCAAATGGATAATCCCCCAGCGCTTTCAGGAAACCATCCGGATCCATTAGTCTCCGAGGGTGGATCATCTTAATAGATCCGCCACCCTTGCAGAGGGGAGAAGAATCTAATAGACTAAACTTGATCAGGAAGTTTGACCATGACAATGGAGTCACAACCAATCCCCCCCACATCCAAACCACCACTTTCCAGTCCCGTTGAGAAAACCAGGTCCAAGGTATGGCCCTTCGCATGTGTCAGGCCGATGACACATTGAGACAGCCCCATGGTTGTCATGGCGGCCATGAAGTCCTGAGCCGACCCAGTCAAGGCAGCCCTGGGATGGGTGTTGAGATCCCCTAGCACCAACAGCCTGAGAATCCTTAACACCGGGTCCGAGACTACCTCCCTCAGCTCAGGCAGGGAGACTGTTGGTATGCAGCAGGGTGGCCGGGAGGTACACCAGCAGAATCCCCAATCTGTCTCACAAGCCCAACACACAATACAGGCCCTCAAGACCTCCTCTCAAAGGGATAGGAGGCCTGGTCAAGGAGATAGAACTCTTATAGACTATAGCAACTCCCCCTCCCCGGCCCTCCAGGCGACATTGGTGCTGGACCGAGTACCCCGGTGGACAAAGCTGGGAGAGGGCGACACCACCCTCCTCTCCCACCCAGGTCTGATGGGTCACACAATGCTGAGAGAAAACTAGAGTGGTGGTTGTGAGGATAAAAACTTCCTAAAAGAGAGACAGAGACACTAAAACTCTGTTCTGTGGTTTTAGTTTTGATCTGAATTATACCGCTAAAAGGTGAATTCATAACTTAATATTGGCTTGAAATACAATTGTGCCCTGCATGACGATGATAATCCACTCTGTCAAAATCGCTGTACAGTGAAATCGTCGTCATGCAAAAAAAATCCCCATTGGAATGCATTGAAAACTGGTTAATGCGTTCCAATGGGGAAATACCTTGTCGTCCAGCGAAGATCGCCTATAGAGAACAGCTGATTAGCTGTTTAAAATCCCTGTGTTGCGAAGCTTCTGTCCGGAAAACACTCATTTTGTGAAGGGAGGGAAGCTATTTTGCGGAGCTGGAAAAATCATCGTTTTTCCGAACAAATGGTTCGCGAAGCAGGGACCTAATCGATGTAAAGCGAAAAAAACCCATAGGAACCATCGTTGCAAAAAAGTCATCAAGCGATTTCGTCATGCAGGGTCGTCGTCATGGTGTTGCGAAGCTTCTGTCCGGAAAACACTCATTTTGTGAAGGGAGGGAAGCTATTTTGCGGAGCTGGAAAAATCATCGTTTTTCCGAACAAATGGTTCGCGAAGCAGGGACCTAATCGATGTAAAGCGAAAAAAACCCATAGGAACCATCGTTGCAAAAAAGTCATCAAGCGATTTCGTCATGCAGGGTCGTCGTCATGTGGGGCACCACCATCAATCGATTTCGTCATGCAGGGTCGTCGTCATGTGGGGCACCACTGTAATATGTGTATTTACATTTTTATTTTATCCTCCGTTTACAAAGCATTAAAGCATGTAATTGCACAAGCAATAGTCACCTGAACAATTAAGCTCATAATATCTGCGGCACAACTGATTTAAGTATTATATCAAATGAATGTAATAATACTGAGTAACCACTTCTACTGAGTAGAAAATTACATAAAAGTAAATATTCATGTTTAGGTTAGCCTTTAATACTTCAGTGAAAGGAATTTCTTGTGGTATTAAAGCATGTAATTGCACAAGCAATAGTCACCTGAACAATTAAGCTCATAATATCTGCGGCACAACTGATTTAAGTATTATATCAAATGAATGTAATAATACTGAGTAACCACTTCTACTGAGTAGAAAATTACATAAAAGTAAATATTCATGTTTAGGTTAGCCTTTAATACTTCAGTGAAAGGAATTTCTTGTGGTATGGTAGAACAAGACATGTTTTAGTGGGACACCCTCCTTGTGTGTTGCTGTGTTGTCAAAAGACGGCACTTTATACTTTTAGGAAGAACATAACACTTTCTGTTTTGGGGGCTTTATGATTAATTGATTTTTTGCATGTTTATGGTAATATTTATAGTGTAATTCCGATTCTTTTTTATCTATTTAATTTTACTTTGACTTTCAAGATGCTGTATTTTGTTGTACACTGGTGTGATGGCTGATTTTTCTGTTTGAAACGTAAGCTACAAACATATTATTGTGAGTGATTTGTGACCGAGCAAGCAAGCTTGAGGGTCCCCTCTTTGTTTCAGTAAGTATTCATGCCTATTGGGTAGGTTCAGACAATCACCATCCAACGTACACTCTAAGTTTCAGCCATGCTGGGCAGGGCTCTGCGTCTCTCGATATGCCATTGTCGTTTTCGTTCCAGCTCTCGGGCGACCGCCTCGCGTTCTTCCCGCAGCTTTCTTCACCACTCCTTGGCCTCGGTTTCTCCCCAGTAGGACGGACGGGGTTTTAGTCTGAGCTGTCGGCGCTTTTCTGCCTCCTCATGGGGAATCCGAACCTGCTCCCATTTGTGGGTCCAAGGGTCCTCCATCCAGACCCACTCCCAACCGCCTGGAATGTCTCCGGCCCTCTCCCTTATATCTCCCATCCCCGCTTCTATCTCCTCCCCTCTTTTTCCCGCCTGAACTCGTCCCGGTTCGCGGGTGATCTTTAACCCTTTCACAACCTCCTCTAGGTCCCGGGTATCCACCCCCTTGCTCAGGGTAAGGGTTCCGCCGCATTCTGTCCCCCAATCAGGGGTCTCCACTCCTCTATCTTCCCGTCGCGGTGGGGATGGTGGGGGGGATGTCTGAGTCTGGTTGTTACTCTTCGGGCGTAGCGGCACTCCTACCATGGCTTCCACTTTGGGAGCCTCACATACCCCCCCATCCGAGAGTGCCGCTCGCTCCTCCTCGCTCCGCGCCCACGGTCCCTGCCGGGAGAAATAATCTACGTTAGAATGTTCTCTACCCTTTCGGTATTGAACAGTGAACGAGAAGGCTTGCAAGGCTAGATACCAACGGGGAAGGCTGGGGT